CAAGTTTTGATGAACTGATTTCCATGGTTAAAGGTCACGGTGACCTCATATTATTATTGAGGAGTGAAACTGCGCTGGAGGTTGGAGGCATCCATCCGCAGGCTGGTAATTATACTTCCACAGAGAACTGCACACAAAAATAAAAACATGTCAGTTTTATAAGTTAATTAAATCTCACATTTATTCATAAAATCCTACTTTTCCCCGAGCCATGTGAGATTCGTGCCGCAGGATAAGACATTTTTGCTGGTTTAAACCCTTTTTTCTATTATGTGCAGGGTATGAAACAAAACTAACAGAAAAAACATATTCATGAAAAACAAATGAAACTGTCTCACCTCCGGCTGATCCTGATGCAAAACCCCGACTTAAAGACGGCAGGAACACACAGTTTGAACTGGATGCTCTTTGTACAGTGGTCCGTCACGTCACACGTGCTGTAGGCTCATATAGGAGGTAACATCTGTTCAGCTTTTATGAAATTAATTATCAGCCTCCTGTCACACATCAAGGTTGAGCCAAAATATCCTCAGCTGGACTTTTTTTCATGAAAAGAAAAGTAAAAATAAACTTCCAAGCAGGAATTTAAGACAGTGTCTGTTTTTAGCAAACAAGGTGTCAGATTGTTTTTTTTATCATGTTTTAATTGAATATATTTATAGCTGTTGTTTGGCCAAATTAAATAGACTTAATAGATGGAAGAACAGAATGTGACAAGTCAAACTCGAACAGATTTGTAGAAGCAGAGGAGGTTTTTTTTTTGTTTGGATTTCATGACTTTAACTTAGTAACAGCCAAACTGAAATTAATCAAAAAAGAATTTGGCGAACGAATGAGCTCAAAACACATCGTGTACATTTGAAATGGAAGGCAGTGGACTGAGTCTGAATGTGATTGTTACAACATCTTTCTTTCTTTGAAAATGCATCTGCAGAAAAAAAGAAAAACCTAGATTCAGTCCATCGGTGTGTTTTTGTACAACGTTGGCAACACAATAACTGGATGATTGAAAATGAACTTTCCCTTCAGTGGAGAAAATAGTGTTTGGATATTGACTGTGTCATAAAAATCCTCCTCTCTATTCAAGAAATAGATTAGTGGAATGGCAGACTCTTTTTCCTAATCAGCATTTGCCACGAACACCACCACCACGCACACCCGAGCACGGACGCACACACACATCCACGCACATGCCGACGCTGGGAGAGCAGATACGGCGCTATAGCTGTTCCATTTCCCAGAGAAGCAGCAGGGATGAAAGAGTGCAGAGATTGGTCTCCCATCCTCTGATCTGCTGCTGCCTTTGACATCAGCAGCCACCAACTCCAAAAGCACAGGAGAACTGGGGGGGGGGGGGG